AGTTTCTACATGCTCAAAATGGATTTTTGTTGAGATATAAAACATTTCACATGCTTCTGGTTACATGGCACACTGTTTTTAAATAGTGTTGTGGAACACAAAGTATAAAGAAGAGAGAGAAAAGGGTCCATTCACTTTAACTGTGAGAAGAGACAGAATGAACGAAAAGGAAAGAGGAAAAGAAAATCAATAAATTTCCAAATCAATAAAATATTTACAATGGCATATATATTCAAAACATCAAAATATCTGCTTTTTGTATGTCTAAACTCAAGTATATTAATTAATAAAGAGGTTTCCCTGTATAATCAATATTGAGAATTATGAAAAAAGTAATTTATATCACAAAGGCACACATATGTTATGAATATGTGTGTGTGAGCACATGCACACCAGCACACACATAGTTTCTCAAGCAAAATTGAAGCATAAAAATTTACAAATGACACCATCCAAATTAGGTTTTGTGTTCCCTTCATCTTTTTGTCCTCTTTTCTTCTCTTTCTCTCTTTCTTTTTTTCTTTCTCCCCTTCCTTCCTTCCTTCCTTCCTTCCTTCCTTCCTTCCTTCCTTCCTTCCTCCCTTCCTTCCTTCCTTCCTTCCTTCCTTCCTTCCTTCCTTTCTCCCTTCCTCCCTTCCTTCCTCCCTTCCTTCCTTTTTTCTTTCCTTCCTTTCTTCGTTCTTTAGTTAGGCATTCCTTCTGTGCATAAAATCTGCTGTTACAAAAGTAAGTCAGGAGTCCCTTACTAATTATTCCTAAGTGTAGTGTGCATTTTGCAGACTATTATACTGTTGATTATTTCACGCTCTTTCAAACACTGAGGCTATCTTTAAGACGAAGAAGAAAACTTTAAGAACCTCTAAAATTAAAGGTTGCAGTCTCTTGAACTGTGCCTTGTGTTTTATTTCCTATCATGCATTTCTGTTCTTCTATTGACTCTTTAACAGATGGGATTCATTACTATCTAACATCCCTTGCTTCTTTCAGTTAACATATGATATATAAATTTAAGACCAAATATTAACATCTCCAAGACCATCAGTATTTTAATAAAGGCTTTATATATTCCCAATAAAGTAATTCTAAATATCAGAAATAACTAGAGGTATAACACTGAGAACAGATAAAAGGTGCTGCTACGTTATTGAATTCAAACCTCGTGTATTAGTCTATTTCTACCATAATTCTGACTATTGCATTCTAAGACAGCAGATGTCCCACCTGAGGAGTTGTAAGATGTTATCATTTATTTCTCCTTTTCGTTCTTTATGAATATGATGAATGATAAAACGTTTACCTCTCTATCAGTCTAACACTACTCTCACACATTAGACATGACCTCCTAATGGAACAGACAATTACTGATTTTTCCTGCCTTTGTTCTTAAATATCTCTTTTCACAGAGGAGCTGCTTACATATTGAAATATACAACCAATTTGTGAGGCAATGGAGACTGTGCTTTGGGAATTTAAAAGCTAACAATACCATAGAACAATTTCAATGGGAATTATTAGAATGTCGACAAGATATAATCAAAGAATTAGACTAGTGATCTGTTAGACAGGTACAAATACACAAATACCTATCAGTTAAAAAGACACCATGTCACTAGTGGGTTCTAAAATCAACATTCTGTCAGTGACAGAGATAATGGAATGGCAAGCCTGTTTATTAGGTCTGAGTGAAAGCCAAAGGAGGAGACTTTATATTTTACACTCCAATTCAAAAAAGAGAAAAAATAGTGTAATTGATAGGAAATCATTGAAATATCAAAAAAGGTAATACTGTGGTCAAGTGGGTGGTAAATAGATTAAACATATTTCTGGTGACAAAGAGATAGGCATAAAGAAAATAAGTGATGCTCATGAAGACTTCTTTGCATAACCTTCTGCAGAGGAAAAAGAACTGCACTGCATAAGACTGACAATTCCTCCTAAACAGACACTATTGTGGTCTTGGTATTTGCTGTTTTTCACTTTAGGAATAATTGTCTCCTATGCTCAGCTAAAGCAATGATAAGGAACTAATTTCTCTTTTAGTTAAATATTATTAAACAAAAACAAATAATCATATGGTAGAAGGCGACATAATTTTAATTTTAGTAGATTTTATTTTATTTTAAAGAGATTTCCTATTTAAAAAATTAAAATACCTGACACAAAAGTTTTCAAATACATACAATGCATAATCAAACATATTTTTTTCTAATTTATGTCCAGTTCAGAGAAAGAGAAGTAGGAGTGAAAAATGGGAAAAATAGAGGGTGAGAGAGAGATAAACAGTTATAAAAATATAGATAAAGAAGAAGAAATTAAAGAACAGGAACAAATGCAGACTGTATTAAGAAAATAGGAAATAAACATGAAAAGACAGGCATAGAAAAGCACATTCTTTAAAACCATATATATGAATAAATTCATCTGATAAAAGAAATATATTTATTTATTTTATTGTTTATTGGGGTAACATTGGCTAATAAAATTATATAGGTTTTCAAGTGTGCAGTTCAATATATCATATGTATATTGCATTGTGCGTTCACTTATTCAAAAAATGAAATATGGGAAGAAAAATTCCACCTTGAACTATGTTACAGTCTTTATTGCCACTGAAGACTTTTGAAATGTGATTTTTGTTCATAGCTATAGATGTAATCAGGGACTTTGCTTCCTAAAGTTTGTCACAATACTTAAAATTAACCTGATGATCTAAACTAGTCCTCGGAATGGAAACTTCTTATTCCTG